TACCTCTAGATTGCTATGAGTGAAATCATTTGATTATGTCCCTAGCTCTGTTGCCTTAAGCAGTAAAAGGCCCACTATGTACCTGGAATTTAAGCACTACCACCTGACCTCTGACCCTGTACTATACTCCATCCAGTTCAAATCAGAGCCATTTCATTTTGGCACCACCTGCCGTCCTCATCAGCAGGTTACGTTCCAAAGCATTTCAAGGAATCTGGTGCTCCCTTACCAATACTTGGGGGTACCTGGTATATTCCGGACCTCTGTGGTTTTGATATGGATGAGCAGGTCGCTTGTGATCAGTCTGCTCTATTTTCTGTGTTTCAACGCCTTTAATTTCTGCCTCTCCCTTAAACATCTTTTCAGGGAGCTTCTGGGGATCACATCCAGCACCTGTGTTTGGTAACCTCCAAGCCACATACTCAGCCATACAAGTGGTATCTTCAGGCATTCAGATATAATCAGAGCCCTCTGGAAGACCGAGGCAGGAGGATCACAAGCTCAAATCTAGCCTGAACTACTTAGTGACTTAGGGAGACCCTGTCTCAAAAATTTAAAAAAGGGTTGGGGATATAGCCTTGACTGAAGGCCCAAGATTCAATCCCCAGTACCACCAAAACACCACCAAAACTGTGGCATCTTTCATGATTTGTTTTGTTTTGAAAGAGGGTCTCACTATACATAGTCCAGGCTGGCTTTGAACTTGCTGTGTACCTCAGGCTGCCCTCAAACTCATGATCCTCCTGCCTTAACCTCCTAGAAGCTGGGATTACAGGTATGTGCCACCATACCCGGCAAAGCATGGCATCTTACTGTCATTTTATATAGGTTGTTGTTGGGTCCTAGTTTCAACCAGCAAATGACCCAAGTCATTCTTAGATGTTTCATCCTTAAATTTAGTTTAACACATTAAATCGCGAGTGCCAGTAAGTGCATTTCTGTCAGTAAATTTGGCCCATTCAAATGTTATTTCCTTCCTCACTAGTATAATTTCTGGCAAACTTAAATTGGCACAATCTTACCCGCCTTTTAATATGGCAGGCCCTAGGTCAGTCCCTGTATTCAGTAACCCCCAATGTGTGCTGGGACTCAACTCTAGTTGTGCAGGGCTCGAGGCTATCAGAGGTGGTAGTGATAATGGAGGAGGGTCTTAGAAGCAATAGGCATCTTCTTCCAGGCAGCTGCCTCACATGAAAGTAATACAGCGTCCTCAGGCCAGGTGGCTCGTGGTCTTAGAAGAGGAAGGGCCCTTGTGCTGGCAGGAGAAGCCCACCGAATCGTCAGGTCCTTTTCAATGTCTCCATTCTCAGTTCTTAGGTTTCTATACAGTCCCCAAATCATGTTTCTCACATAAGAGTTCTGGCAAGGACATGAAATCAATTTGCGCTGTAAGTCTGCAACCCATTAAATGAAATTGCGGTTACTCTGGTCTTCTGGCTAAAAGACAGATTACTGTAAGACGCTCAGAGAAGCTCTCTGCTTCTTTACTATGCCTCGCTCCAGTAATTAAATCCCCTAATTGGACATTTTCTCCTTGCAAGCTCATTAATATGGTCAGAGGTAACTAACACTCCAGCATCCTTACAGTTCTCAGTTCCGTTCTAACGTTCTTTATAAGCACCACGTGGGCTTGCCCCAGGTTTCTAGTAGAAATAACAAGATCATGTTGCACACTGAGCGTCTCTAATCTAAAAACTCTGAAATCTGAAACCTTTTAAACTAGGCGTGAGAGCATGCTCACAATCCCAGGCACTCAGGGGCTAAGGGAAGAGGCTCACTGGAGCCCAAGAGCTTGAGACCAGCCTGCATGACATACTGAAGCCCCAATAGCTGTCTGTCTGTCCATGAAAATTCTGAATGATCACATGGCATTGCAGGTGAAAAATTCCAGATGTGACCTTATATGATAGCTCACAAAGTACAGGTGCACTAAAAACATCGCGTAAAATTATTTTCAGGTCATGTAAATAAGATATTTATGAAACATAAGTTCTTAAAAAATAAATAATTGTTTTGTTTAGACCTCATCCTCAAGATTTCTCATCATGTACATGCAAATATTCCAAAATTCAAAAAGCCAAACTTTTATTATTTATTTATTTATTCATTTTTTAATGTATTTGTTACAGGGTCTATAGGGTCTCACTACGTAGATCGGACTTGTAGTGATTCTCCTGTTTTCAGCTTCCCAAGCGCTGGATTACAGGCGCTGGCCACCATGCCCAGTCTCAATCACTATCTCAGCATGCCCCGGGGGTTGGGGGGGTAGGACCTGCACAGCATGCCGGGGAGCCACTGCGCTCTGCCTGAGCAGGTGCTTTAGTCTGCTGAGCTATCAGGCTGGCCCTTAAAAAAAAAAAAGAAAAAAGAAAAAAAAGAAAAAGAAAAAGAAACAACTTTTAAATCCAAAACAATTCCAGACTCAAATTTTGGTATGAGATATTTGACTTGAACCTTCAAATCCGACCATGTCAAGGGGGCACATCCGTAATCCTCATGCTTAGTCAGCTGAAGCAGCAGGACCACACTTTGGAGTCCCACCCAAACAATTTAGCAAGACGTCTCAAAATAAAACATGGAGTTAGGTGTGGTGGTGCACACCTGTGATCCCAGCACTGAGGAGGCTGGGGCAGGAGGATCCTTGAGTTCACAGTGACCTCAAGGCCAGCCTGAACTGCACAGTGATGCTCTGTCTCAAAAACCAGGGGGCCTGCCAGTTAGCTCAGTTGTTTAAGCACCTACTCATGCAAATGAAGTCAGGCACAGGATAGCGAGGTTTGATCCCCAGCTTTACCTGCCTTACCAGACTCACTCTTAGGGCAGACTGAGCCAGCCAAAAAAATTCCTTCTGGGCCGGCCAATAGTCCAGCAGATTAAGGCGCCTATAAACAGGCACAGGGGCTGGGGGGTTCAATCTCCAGGCCTGCCATGCTGGTTCTGGGGCTCTCTGAGAGGGCAACTGAGACTAGGCGTGGTGGCACATGCCTGTAATCCCAGCTCTTGGGAGGCTGCAAACAGGCAGATCACTACGAGTCTGATCTAGTAGTGAGACCCTGAACACCCTGTAGACCCTTCCCTAAAATAAAAAATAAAAAACCAAAGATTGGGAATATAGCTTAGTGCAAATGTGAAAGAATGAGAGGGAGGGAGGGAAGAAAGGAAAGAGAGAAGAGAAAATATCTAACAAGGTCAGATTTTCAACTTTGAGTGTCTATAAATGCTGTAGCTATTTCTAGAACAAAACACTTTATCAGCCAAGGTTAGGTCAAGAGAATAGCTTTTCCCTGTTCTGCCAAAAAAAGGAGGAGGAGGAGGAGGAAGAAAGAGGAAGCAGGAGGAAGAAAGAGGAAAAAAGAAGAAAGAAGGAAGAAGGAAGAAGGAAGAAGGAGGAGGAGGAGGTGGAGGAGGAGGAGAAGGAGGAGGAGAAGGAGAAGATGATGATGAAGAAAATAGCTTTTATTTCATATACTTGTGGAAAAACACCATCTTTTCCCCCTCACCTCATGTCACACTAGTCTTCCATGATCTCAGTAAGTGCGGGAAGCCAGAAAGCTGGGAGGCTAAGGCAGGAGGATCCAAAGTTCAAACAGATCCTGGTCAGCTTAGCAATTTAATATTTAATGAGACCCTTTCACAAAATAAGAAGTGAAAACAGAGCTGGGGATGTAGTTCATTGTGAAGGCTCTAGATTCAATAACCAGAACCACAAAAAGAGAAAAAAAAAAAAAAAAGGGTTATTGGCTTCTCCCTGCTGGCGGGCAGGCAGGTGACGCTGCAGCAGTGAACACCAGCTGAATGTCATCTGTCAGGCTATGGGGACAGCCCTAGTCATCAGGGCAAAGGCTTCATCCCCAGGAGAAAGTCCAGGTCTGTGGAACTTTTCTGACAAATCAGCCATCAACTCAGATTCCCATAGCCATCTCCTCAGTTTCCGTGATGTGCTGCAGTGGCTCGCAGGCCTCAGGGGAGAGCTCCTCTTGCTTACTGCTTATTAAAAGGTTATTCAAAGAGTGTGCCCCAGGGACTGGGAGAGGAGACCCCTGGGGCAAGGTCTGGACAGGCCCTGAGGGCCAGAGCTTCTGCCCCAGCAAGGTCCTGTCAGATCTTTGGCTTCTCCACCCCAGTCTTTCCTCCAAGTCCTGGGGCTGAACCCTCTGGTATGAGGAAGTCTTAGGAGCCTTAGCAGACCCCGGCAGGTCAATTTCTTTGTGACAGCAGGTCAGAGTTCCTATAGCCTACCTTGGGGAGCCAGTTATAGGGCAGGAACTGGAAGATTTTTTTTTTTTAAAGTACAGGGTCTATCCTGTCTCACTACACAGATAGGATTCATAGTGATTCTCCTGTTTCCAGCCTCCCAAGTGCTGGGATTACAGGCCCACGCCACCACGTCCAGTCTCAGTCCACATCTCAGCGTGCACTGGGGTCGGGACTGGCACAGCTGGATGTGGATCAAAGGTCGGTCGCTGTGGAAGATCTTCAACATGGAGAATTAGATGTTTACAAAATTATTGGCAAGGCTGGGGGAGCAAAACTCAAAGAAAGCAGCTGCTGGCAGGGGCTTAGGGAGATTGCTCAGAAGTCTAAGGCCTGCTTAGCAAGCGCAAGGTCCAGGGTTCAAGCCCAGTAACAGCCATGCTGGCCCCACCTGGGGTGTACCTTACCAGCCAAGCCTGGCGGCCACCAAAACCAAACACAAATCTGTAATCCCAGGACTGAGGAGGCTGAGACAGTGAGACAGGAGGATCACTACAGTCTGAACTACATATGAGACCCTGTACCAAATTTAAAAAGAAAAGCAGCTCTGGCTTTTAGAAACTCTGGAAGTGCAGGAATTACAGATCCTGATCCGCTACTCTGATCTCAGAAGCTGGTGGAGCTGTGAACATTTTCAGCAGAAAGCCTTTGCCAATTTACATTCCTTCAACAGCAGGTCTTTCCCAACCAGACTATTATCTCTCTCTCTCTCTCTCTCTCTCTCTCTCTCTCTCTCATCTCCCCAGCACATCAAGAGCAACCAGGCTCTGTCAGAGAAGCTGTGTGAACTGCTGCAAGAAAAGGAAGCTCTGTGGAAAGAGCACGGGCGATACCTGGAGCAGCTTGACAGGCACGTGAGGTAAGCGCGAGGCAAGCCAGCAACTGGGGTGGGGGGGCTGACCCCGACTGCGGGCGGGGCGGGCGCAGCACGAGGCTCCCTGCAGTCACCTCTTCATGCCTAGGAGGTCTTACTGTTTCCAGAGCCTTCCCCCCCCCCACAACCGGGGATTGTACTCAGGCCCTTGCCCTTGCCAGGGAAGCGCTTATTCTACTGAGCCATCTTCCTGTTTCCAGAGCTTTTCCTGGAGATATGGGGCCCAGGGCCTTCCCAGAATTGGAAAGAAGGGAATTACCACTTGTTGAACTCCGTCAGTATCTTATTTTGAACCCTCTCGTTTGCGGCCCTGTCCTCCACATGCTGCTCAGTAGGAATCACCTTTTTCCATCTCAACACTTCAGCTCAGGATGTTTGGACTCGCATCACCTCCTTTCTTGACAACCCAGGCTGTGCTGGGGGAGGGGCTTGTTCTTTGTAGCCCTGTAGCCCTTTGTCCATGCCTTTCTGTACTTACAGCTTGTTGTCATCCTGTTCAAAGAATGAGGTCCAACCAGCAGGGTGGTGCACACCTATAATCCCAGCACTGGGGAGGCTGAGGCAGGAGGATCACTGGGCGTTTGAGGCCAGCCTGGGCTGCAAAGTGAGCTTAGGCCAGCTTGAACTGCATAGTGAAGCTGTCTCAAAAACAAAACAAAACAAAACAAAGAATGTGGTTCGCTAGCTGTCTCCTTAGCTGTAAGCTGTGCAAGGGCATGTGGAGTCTATTACAGACCCTGGGAGACAGTAGACACTCGAATAAAGTTTATATCCCTAGCTGGCCTGATGGCATACACTGGTCATCCCAGCTACAGTACTTGGGAGGCTGAGGCAGGCAGGAATGTTGCTTCAATTCAGGACCTTAAGACCAGTCTAGGCAGTATGGTGAGAACCACATCTCTTTAAAAAACAGAGAGGGAAGGCTGGGGATGTTGCTTAGGGCTAGACTGCTTGCCTAGCATGGGCAAGCCCCTGCCACCCACCCCCACCCCCACAAATGCCCCCACCCTTCCTGTACTTCCTACTGTTTTCGTATGGCTCGCCATTCTACCAGATTCCTTTCTGTCTCCTCTTCTGAAATATGCGGAGCAGAGTAGCTCAGAGAATGGACTTCGGAGCCACACACTGCCTGGTTACAAATCCTGGCTCCATTAGAAATGAGCTGTAAGGCAGCCAAATAGCTCATCAGGTTAAAGCACATGCAAGCAGGCTCAGGGGCCAAGGGTTCTATTCCTGGGCCTGCTACACCAAGCCTGCCCCCGGGGGTGCACTGAGATCGCAATTGAGACTGGGCATTGGTGGTGGGTGCCTGTAATCCCAGCTCTTGGGAGGCTGTAAACAGGCAAATCACAATGAGTCTGATCTAGTCGTGAGACCCTGAACACCCTGTAGACCCTTTCCTAAAATACAAATAAATAAATAAAATGAAATAAAATGGACAAAATAGCAGTATTGATGCCACAAATTGATTATGAGATTTAAGTGAGTGAAGGCCAGGGAACTGGCTCAGTGACATAAGTGCCCTCCCAGCAAGCACAAGGTCCTGAGTTCAATCCCTGGTGCTGGGGGAAAAAAAGGATTAAATGAGTGAATATATACAGTGCAGGCCTAGTGTCTGACACATAGTGTGTGCATTTATTTATTTATTTTAGTTGGGCTTTCTCCAGGACTCACTGCTCTGTAGTCTTCTGCTCCTTCCATGGGTTGAAATTTCTTATTTTCTTATGCTGTTATTCGTCTACTATGTTGACAGCATTGATGATTTTCACTTACTACTTTATAGCAAAGAGCTCTGACAGAGCCACTAGTGATCACTGTCATACTTTAATCATTGTATTAGTCAGCTTTCCGTCGCTGGGACAAAATGTGTGTGATGTGTACAACTGAAAGGGGAAAAGGCTGACTTAGACTCATTTTTTTTTAATTTTATTTATTTGTGTGTGTGTGTGTGTGTGTGTGTGTGTGGCCAGCTCAGCCCACCAGGGGGCGGGCTGGCTGGCATGTGGTGCTGGGGGATTGAACCGCGGTCCCTGTGCTTTGCTAAGCTTGTTCTGAGTAGGTGCTTTAGACCACTGAGCCATCTCACCAGCCCCCGGACTTAGACTCATGACGCCACAAGTGTCAGTCCATGGTGCGCTGGCTGAAATGCTTCAGAAACATCAGGCAGGAAGCATGGCAGAGGAAACTGCACACCTCACCATGGCTAGCTGCTGAGAGCAGGAAGGGGCCAGACAGGTGCAGCCCCGAGGCAGCGCCCTAACTGGATCCAGCCTCCCAACAGGCCCCTGCAGCTGTGAATGCATCAGTGGATTGATGCGCCCATGAGGTTAGAGCCCTCATGATCCAGAGCCACACCTCTGAACACGTGAGACTTCTGGGGCATTTTAGACTTAAACCATAACAATGAGTATAGTATTGAGAAATATAAGAACCCTGATAAAGGAGTGCATATGGTTCCGATCATGCATCTAAAACTCTAAGGCAGAATTCAGCCCCCTGACAAGCTATGCAGTATTCTTTCCACACTTTTATCTTGCGGTTAAGAGAATGAAGTTTTAGATGTATAGAACATAATAATGTCACCAGCCTCGCCAAATGGACTGATAATGAGGGTCACTGATACATGCTATATATGATGTATATTATATAATATTACAGATATAAATATGTATAATGTGAAATAGTTATAATGTCAGGTAAATATTGTTCAAAGGTAAAACGACATTTGGTCATTAGGTAGTTAATTGTTTTTTCATTAAACAACCTTGAATAGAGAAAACATTAAATGAACTTGCAATTTTTTTAAATTTTTTATTTTTTTGTCTTTTTGAGACAGGATTTCAAACTTGCAACAATCCTCCTGCCTCAGCCTTTGAGTACTGGGATTACAGGCATGTACCACCACACCCAGCAGAGATTTTCTTAAGACAGGATATCACTATGTACTTAAGGCTAGCCTTGAATTCATTATGTACCCCAGGTCGGCCTTGAACTTGCTATCTTCCTCTTGGCCTTCCAAGTACTGAAATTACAGGCATGTGCCACGATACCTGGCTTAATTTGCAAATTTTTAAGTTGAAAAAAAATAATTTATGAAAAGTTTATGGTTTGGATACCTAAGGGAAATATCTAACCCATTAAATTGGCAGATGTTATTTCTGCTTTCTTTTTCTTAACTGAAACACCTCAAAGACAGCAAAATAAAACCAAATTTTATTTTATGTTTTAATCTATTTAGTACAAGGTCTATAGGGTCTCACTATGTAGATCCGACTTCTAGTGATCATCCTGTTTACAGCCTCCCAAGCGCTGGGATTACAGGTGCGCGCCACCACACCCAGTCTCAATTGCTGTCTCAGCATGCTCAGAGTATGGGGCTGGCACGCACACCAGAGATCGAACTCCTGGCCCCTGGCCCCTACCTCTGCCTAAGCAGACACTTTAATCTGCTGAGCTATTTGGCCAGCCCATAAAATCAAAATTTAAAAAATAATTATTATTCAGAACCCCTATGTTCACTCCTATTCTTCCCAATAATTTTATGATTTACTATTATAGCTTAGATAAATGATATATATTGTTTTCTCTTAATATCTGCCTGGCTTATCTGGCAAATATTTGAATGGAAAAATAATTTTCCCAGAGCCTCTCCTAAGTTCACCCTATTCTTCCCAATAATTTTATTATTATAACTTAGGCAAATTTTATATATTTTCTCTTAATATTTCAAAGGGCATTGTTGTAACTCAAAAATCAGATGACAATGAAGCAAGTCCAAAAGTTAAAGAAGCGCTTTATTTTAGCTGGTACCCAGCGGCAGACACCCCGGCAAGATGCTGAGGTGCGCGCCCAGGAGGGGAGAGACAAGGGTTTTTAAGGCTGAAAACCGCAAAGGGGAGGTCTTATGATTTGAGTGCAAGGGAATGCAGCACAGGAGTCAGCGTCCACTTTTGGGAAAATAGATTACATACAATTTTTAGGAACAAATAATTACAATTTATGGTTCGGTGTTGATCACAGGACATATTGTGTGGAGTACTCTGGGGTAGAAATAGTTCAGATCTCAACCTCTGACACACTGTGGTTTAGAACAAAGGAATGGTTTGAACATTAGCAAACTGTGTTCAGAGCCATCAAGATGGAGTTTAAGTTGTCAGCTTATACCAAACAATTTTCATTATTAAAGTTACAGTGGACATGTACAGAAATGTATAATACAATGCCCATTCTGGTTACAAAATGGAGTGGGTATTTAAGCCAATAAACCA